GGATATCGTTGGGTAGCGAGGATTGGTGTAACCCGAGCCACGCAGGCGTGTTTTCTGGCGGCCGACCGTCAGTGCACGGAGTTGCCACTTCTCCGACTGCCCCGGCTAGTTCCCGAGGTCGCGCGGGGCCGCTGACCCCTGCGTCCCCCGGGACCTAGCGCGGGTGGGTTGGAGGGGGCTCGCCCCGTTCCTCCCCATCGGGCCGCGTGAGCGGCCTCGCCTCGTGGACGCGATCGCGAATATCCTTTTCTTTTTTAGTTGTTTTATTTAAATTCTTTTTTAGTGAGCCGGTGTTTCATAGACGCCGTCGACTCACGAGTACGGGCTGGGCGCGTGCCGCGACGCGTCAAGGTCCTCGCCCTCGCACTGCCCGTAGTCCTGGCCGCGCAGCATGGTGCGGCGCAGCGCGTCAAAGTGCCGTCGCGCGTAGAGCGGCCGCTCGTCGCGCATCGCCACGGCCGTCGCCGCGCAGACGGCCGGGTCGATCGGGCGGAGCGGCCGGCCCGTCGACATGGCGATCGTGACGAGCTTAGCCGCTTGCTCGAGGTAGTAGAGCGAGTCGAAGGCCTCCGCCGCCGTCTCGCCCGTGACGATCACGCCGTGGTTGGCCATCATCAGGCAGCGCGCCGAGCCGAAGGCGTCGACGATGCGCGAGGCCTCGTCGCCGTCGTGCACCAGGCCGTGGTACCGGTCGTACGAGGCGACCTCGCCAAAGAACTTGAGGCAGTTCTGGTGGACCATTGGCAGCTGGTTGTCGGTCAGTACTGTCAGCGCGGTCGCGTGCGGCATGTGCGTGTGGAAGACGCAGCGCGCCGCCTCTCCCTGCGCCTGGTGCACCGCGCGATGGATGTAAAAGGCGGAGATCTCGGCCTCGCCGCGTCCCTCGAGGATGTTGCCGTCGGCGTCGAGCAGCAGCAGGTCGTCCGCCCCGACCTCGGACCAGAGCAGGCCGTGCGGCACCAGGAGGTAGCGGTCGGGTGCGACCTCCATCGTCAGGTGGTTGCACACGCCCTCCGCGAAGCCAAACGAGTGGCAGAGGCGGTACGCGGCCGCCAGGTCGACGCGATCCTGGCGGAGCAGCGACGCGGCAGCCGCGGGTGCGGAGGCCGTGCTGAGGCGTCGCGATTGGCTGGAAATAACGTGCGGTAGACGGCGTAGCATGACAGACCGGCGAGACTGATTCCGTCTCGAAGGGCGCACGGCGAAGCTGGAGCGCTGTGCTGGCGGCGTTGGTGGTGTGCTTGCAGTGTGACACCCAAAAGGTGTTGGACAACGGTGACACGAGGGCTGGGGGTGTGAAGGGCATAACCATGGTTGCGTGCAGACAATGGAGATAGAGCAGCCCCGGAGCGGAGGCCCGCCCGGGGTATTCAGTGTGTCGCGGGCGCCTAATCGGGATTAATTCCGTCGGGCGCCTACGAATTTACGTTTGCCGTCGGTGTTTCGCAAGCGCGCCTGGCGGCGGCTTGTGCTATGCCTGCTTTGGAGCCCGACGGGAACGCGGGAGCTATGGTCTGGGACATGGGCTGGCCTTCGTGGGGCCGAGGCTTTGCCTCGTGGCCCGCAGTCGGTGCCCTTTGCCTCGTGTTGGTGCAAGGCTTTCCGGGGCTAGTTGGCAACAAGAACACCCCCGGGCGACAGCAGCAGCGCCGCAGGCGGGCTCATGTCGCAGGGGCCGTCCGGCCGCGGCCCGCCCAGGCGCCACGCGTACGCAGGGCGAACATGGGGACAACGATCCTCTCCATGTGCCTTCTCTGTGGCTGTGCTGCCGCCCCGGGGACGGAGGTGGGCATCAGCCCTTCGCGAGGTCGTCCGTCTTCCAGGGCCTCCCGTGCCGTTGGGTGCGACCGGTGGAGAGCGTATTTGCCAAAGGGCCGCTGCAGTCGATATGCCGTCCAGTGAACGCGGCCAAGAAGCAGCGGAAGGAGCCGCGTGTGCAGTCGGCAAGTTCGTTCGTGATGCACCCGGCGCAGCCGGCGACCGCCGGGTAGCCGGCCATCACCGCCGCCACCGCCGCCGCCGGCCGTGGCAGCGTCGGCAGACGCCGCGTCGTGGCCCGACTTTGCGGGAGGCGTAGCGCACTCGCCGGGGTCGTCCGCCGCGTCGCCAAACACCATCCTCCAAGCGCACCTCTCTTCGGACGCCCTTGCTCGGGTTGCGTCGCTGGTTGGTGGTACCACGAGCCCCGCAGGCTCCCTCGCACCCTCGCCGCCGCAGCACGGCAGCTCGTCGCCCGCCGCGTCGTCGTTCGCCACGTCGCCCGCCGAGCCGACACCGGACTTTGCGCGCGTCTCCGCCAACTTGCAGCAGCTGCGCGCAGCCTGCAGCCCGTAGCCCCCCACACAGGGCAGTTCGCGCTTTTGGGGAGAGGTTCCTCCTTTCCGCTCCCCCCGCAAGGCACGAGGCGGTCACGTGTTTCTCGTGCGTACGTCGCGCGAAGCCCACGCGCGCCACGGCTTAAGGGGACAGCGACTCTTGTGGGTCTCACTGTACGATGCTTCGCACCGCCACGGCTCTGCGCCTGCGCGGGGCCGCGCTGCCACACGCTCCTCACTAGTGTGTTTTTTACGGGGCACGCGAAACCAACCGGGAGACGCGGGAGTTGTTCTCTATAGAGCTAGTGTGTACCGTGCACAAGCACACACGCCCATGGCTGCGGTGCCCCCCCCCCCGCGCTCACGCGCGGCCGCGTCGCAGTGTGTGGCCAAGTGTGGCTCGCACGCGGGTCGCGGCTCTCTCTCTACGATAGCGTGTGAGAGAAGCGCTCTCTAAAGCGCGGTGCCGGGGCGCCGCGATCCACAAGCCTGAGCACCCTCCGCTCGGTTCCTTTGGTGGCTAGAGGCACCAGCCTGTACTCGCGGGTAAGCTCGGCCATCTGGAGCATCATGGCTCGCTCTCCTGCTGTGAAGGAATGGCGTGAGAGC